TATCAATCCCCTGCATATAGAGTAGGACAACCCCACCTCACATAACCCAGGCTGATCAGATTTCAGCCATAGAATTATGATGACTTGGTTCGCCACGAGGTTAGGTGACTAATAGTTTTTCTTTATAAAAATAAAAAAAAAAATTGTCTCGAAAAAATTATTTTTTTAATTTTTAAAATTCAAAGACGAAGTTAAAAAAAAAGTGCATATCATTTTATGTTATTTTTATATTTTTTTTTAACTCTAAAATAAATCTTGAAAATCACGACAGAAAGGGAGGCGACCGTGATCACGATCGTCCACCGAGTTTGCCGCACGGTCGCAGCCGCGGGTAATATATAGCTCCAACAGAAAAAAATTCATGAGAAATGAAAGTTGAAAAAATATTCCATAAAAAAAAAAAATCTTTTATATTTGTATATTATAATTCCAATGTTCGTCCAATTCTAAAATTTTCAATTTAGTTTGATAAGTTCCCGTCTAAATATGAATTTTCTCTTCCAACTACATCTATTTGTTCAAGATGGGATAAAAGTTTGGACGAGTTTATGAAATATTTTAATTAAACTTTTATTCTACTACAACAAATATCTTCTAATTTAGATTGGATTAACCTATTTATGACTGAAAATCCTTACTTAGAATGAAAGTTCAATTAAAATATTTCATGAACTTATCCAGACTTTCATTCCATCTCTAGCATGCAGTTCAAATAATAAGGGATACCCTATTCTTGGAAGGAAAATTTTCACGTAAGACATAAAATTTTAAAATTGGAATGACATTTTTTTAAATGGAATGAAAATTTTAAATTTAGAATATAATTTTACTCTAGAATGATTATTTAATTCTGGGAAATTTTTATGTTGTGCACTACCACCTACAAAGCTCTCTACTACCTACAAAGCTCACAAGTCCATCATAAAATTATTGTGACATGATAGCAACTTACAACCAACTTCAATTAAACATGTTTAACAGTAAGAATATCATTCACAACAAAAACTTTCATGTGAAATTTTATAAGGATCCAAGTCAATCGTCTTCCACTCATAGTTAGGGTTTATCCATATTCTGCAAAAAAAAAAAAAAAAAAAAAACCTTAGCCGAATCATTCAACAAAAATTTCAGATAGAATCAACAATCTGTTTATATTGATTCAAAATTCAACAAGTAACGACAACCGAATGGACTCAAAGTTTATATGTAGATCATAAGGTCCTCAAAACTTAAGAATAGTGTATCAAAGATAAAAAAAAAAAGTGATGGAATTCATGACCATTATGATCATTCAACTTTTCTCACATACAATCGAAAAATACATCTCTAATAATTTTTTATTCCTTCTTAGTAGGGAAAACGAGCATATGACTCCAATCTACACAAACTTTATCCTCTCGTTTTCTTACAATCATTTTTTCAATATCACGATTAATACGTCTGTAAAATTTTGTCTTATGGCGCCACATGCCATAATACGTACATCTTCAATGCTTATAATGTTTTTTCCTTACATAATCCTTCCGACACACTTGGTTAAACGCCAAGTGGACCTGAGCATCGTCCGTCCCTTAGGGTGTTGATCACCTAAGTACGAAGCGGATATCGGTTGACCAGGTCGGCCTTAACCAAGTGTGAAACCCAAAAATTAATCTTAGTCCCTTAAACACCAGTAAAAAAAAAATGTTATAAACACCACACACACTCACATCAAAAGGAATCGACAGTAGTCGATAGGCATGCATATCCAATATGAAATGATAACTAAAATAATTCAAATCATCATATGGTATATCCGATAGCACAAAATCGCAATAAAAACTCGACCACATCAGGTCAAAACTCAATATAAATTTTACTGAACCGCCAACAGAAAGTTGAGTTTAACAATATCCTCGATGTAGCCGACAAGGTAGTAAAATTGCCTTAGTTTTGACTTGATGAGACGAATTGCCAAAGTTATTCATTCCAGCCTACCGCTTAGGCACGCCCGCATCTGTCTTCGTACGTTTGTAATTTTTTTGGATGACAGGCTTCTTTGCGGACGATTCTTGATCAGGTCTATTACTTAAAGTGTTGCATGTCTCTCCCTCTAGGAAGTGGTCTGGGGTACTTCCCCTCCTCGCCCGAGCACGAAGCTCGGATTTAAGAAGTCGAGCTGTATCCACCGAATCGACAAGTACCCCCTGTAGAACGGTCCACTCTAGGTAGTCGTTAGACACTCCTCGGGGATGTGATTTCAAGGATTTCATCATCGTTCCACCTGCCCTCGGAGCCCACTTTCGAAAATAAAATGTAAAAACACACTTAGGATAAATCATCTGGCTCCGAGGATTTCACTTGCAAATCATTCTCGCCTCCAAAGGACCTCGCGAGGTCCTTTCAAAATGGAGCCTGAGGATTTGCGATTCACATGGTATTGGCGACCTGTTTGTGTGACAAAAAAACTTGCGTTTTGAAATGGTTAATTGCGTGGGCACCGTAAAACGAATTCAATTCAAATAAAACAGATAAGGTCAAACGAACGTAGTTTTTTTTATCCTGAATGATTTTTATCTGTCCAAATGGTTTTCATTCTCTATAACTTCCAACTCTTTTCAAATGAGTTACCGTGGACAAGGGAGGATAACAATTAAAAATTTATTTGCGGTAGACTCTTTCTCTTTTTCAAGGACGCATCTGGGGCAGGGGTTCATTGCTTTAGGAGCGGACGCTGTTATCGACCTAGAGTGGACCGTTCTACGGGGGGGTACTTTGTCGATTCGGTGGAGACGGCCTGACGTCTGAGATCCGAGCTCTATGCTCGGGTGAGGAGTACCCTAGACCACTTCCTAGAGGGTGAGACACGCAACACTTCAAGTAATGCACCTGATCAATAATCATTCGCAAAACAGTCTGTCATCCAAGAAAATTAGAAATGTATGAAGACGGGTATGTGGGTCTAGTTTTAAGTGAGTTAGAATGAATAACTTTGGCAGCGTATCTCATCGAGTCAAAACGGAGTTTGTCCGACTACTTTATCGACTGTATTTATGTTATTATCGAAAACCAACTTCTCGTTGGTGGCCGTATGATTTTTGGAGAGTTCAACCCGGTTTGGTCGGATTTTATTTTGATTTTGTGTCTTTGGATGTACGATATGATGATTCAAATTCTTTCGATTATTATTTTATGTGGGATATACATTCCTATCGATTAAGGACGGTTCCTTTTGAAATAAATAAGTGTGGTTGTTGTAACTTTCGTTTGACTAATGTTTAAAGGGACAAGGGGGTTTCGCGCTTGGTTGAGACCATCCTTCAAGTTATCGACCGGCGTACGCTTCGTACACAGGAGAGCAGCGCTCTAAGGAACGGACGACGTCCGAGTTCAATAGGCGTTTTAATCGCGCGTACCTATACTACAACGAGCGAGCAAACACCCTCGCTGACCCACCTCTGCAATTGCATTTAAAAACTTTCGCATGTGGGTCCGTAGCTCGGTAGGGATACACCCCTAAGGGTGGTGACAACCCCTTAGGGAAGCAAGTTGTGCCCTGCGGGAACCTATCCTATCGTAGGGGCCCGCGAGATGTACAGCTGGCGCACCCGGTTAGAGCGGCGAAGGGAAGACACGACCGCGGCCGTCTCGGCGCTTCGCAGGATCATAAATGCGTCGTCTCCAAGTTGTCTCTTTGGTTATGTTGTTTTTGTTTAACTCCTGCGCGACATGGTCGGGAGGGCTCCCGCCTCTTCGCAAGAAAAAGGCGGGGGCCGATGCGCTCGACAATGGCCAGTGTCACCGCCACCACCGCCGTCTTCTCAATGGATGTCAACACCACACGCCCATCTCAACATTGCTCTTGAGCGGACATCCCAAACCGCACCACGAACACACCTCCCCCGACTGCGTATAATCGTATAAAATTGGCCACGGCAAGTCCCCGGGGATTTGTTATCGGAGCCATTCCTCGAGGATTGGTGGAACGCCGCTGCCAAAACTCCAAAATTTCCCCGAGGATGCCCTGAGGAGTGTCTAACGAGGCCCTGAGTCTGACAGCTCTCGAATAGGTTTTGGGCATCCCCCATCAAGAGTTCATGCCGCCATGCCACACTCTTCAAACTTCAAGTTTCAAGCGTAATGCAGCGAGGCCCATAGACTTGCATTTGGACAACACGAGATAATAAACAAAACAGTTTGGTGGTGGGGGGGGGGATGTAGCTCCCCTCCGTACCCTGCCTTATATCCCGCACCGTACCCTGCCTGACAAGCATCTCTCAGCATGCGATCCAAGGCCACAAACGGCCTGCACGCTGCGTACGCCCTCACGGTAAGTCAAATGTGTGCAGAAGGTTTCCGCTGTGTAGCGGGTCCGTTCCCCTGTGTGTGTAGAAGATTTCGGCCATTCGATTGACTGTGGTGCAAGCCGTCAGATTGTGATGAATTGCCAGGGGACAAGCGTAAGGGCTGCGGGTCCATGCCCGTAGAAATTTTGCAAGAAGGGCGCGAACCGGTGGGAGTGTCAATTGGCGCCACGCGTTGACAGCAGTGCGCGGGGGCTCCAACTGACGCATCGATCAGGGAAACGTCATGTCGAATGGTCGGCCGAAGAAAAAGCGAAATACGAAAACAAAAATGAAAAAAAACGAAAACGGAAAGTACACGGCGGAGAGAAAAGACGAGATAGGTGGTTGGGCGGTCGATTGATCACCCGGGGCTAGGTCCCACTTGCACGAGTTAAGAGATAGAGACCGTAGATAGCCGAGATCGACGGCCGAAATCTCCTAATCCGTGCAAGTGGGACCTTGCCCCCGGCAAGGCAGGCAGGGGAGGAGAGGGAGCAGGGGGGAGGAGGAAGGCAGCGCGGCAGAGGAACAGGCGCCCCGATCCCCGGTTGTTACCTATGTGCGCAGATTGATCCCGGCAGTTAAAAGCCGCCATTAATAATTCCGGGGACGTGCACGTTCTCTCTGTGCTACAAGTAAAAGCGAGCAAAGTGGTGGGGCGAAAAGCAGTAACGTGGCGGGAAGAGGTGCATGGGCAGCGCGGGAGTTGTAGGCGGTCAGCTCGGTCGTTTCTGCTCGAAAGGGCCAGCGGGAGATCGGCTGCGCGCTCTTCGATTCCCCCGACTTGCCATAGCCCAAGCTGCCATGTCGTGAACGGGACGACTGTTTCGAGTGTATTGTCCTATGTAGGTGCTGTTGCTGGTGGAGGCATTGTTCGTTCGTCTACCTGAAGAGGAGAAGAGCGAATAACTGAACACTGTTAAATTAGTTTGGAGGGAGAAAAGCAGAGTGCGGGGAGGGGACAATGGCGACCGCCCTGTCCGGCAGCATAGCCCGCATAGTCCCATCGGTGGACATAGGCTCGGGACTGGATCGGCATCACGATCCTGGGGAACGGAGGAGTGACCGTCTTTCTCTTCGAGCAGGAGAGTTTTCATCGTCTTTGGAGTCGCTCTCAGCCTCTCATTGCCAGTTTCTGCGCAGTTCGACTGTGGCGCGCAAGTCTATTGTCAGCGCAAGTCTGGGATCAGCGCAATCGTCGTCAGTAGGATGTGGCGGCGCCAAGTTTCTGCCAGCGTTGGCAGTATCCGAGGCTGGAGGGTCGGGGAGATCGTCAGGTACTCAGGCGCACGGAAACTCTCGCCGTAGCGTGAGACGCCAAGTGGCGGCGCCCCGCCGCGTTTCTGAGGTTAGCACGGACGAGAGCACGGCCGATGCTCTGGTCAAAGGAAAGAATGAAGTGCAGGAATGTATAGACTGCGGGCTAGATCGACATCATCTTCTTCGCAATCCGACCCTCAACAAAGGCACGGCATTCACGTAAGTTATATCCAGCACCGTACCTGTCATCTTATGGTTACTTACTACTCATTAGCCTGCCTGATTCTTCCGGATCCCTCATTAGCTTTGCCAGCTTGTTTTCTGGTGATGCAGGAGCGCGCGAGTGTGTGCTTATTAACCGAAATCGAATCTGATGCGTCAGATCGGATGTGCTGTGTTCTGATCGGACGATCTTCAACCGAGTAGATGACCATTCCGTCCTGTCAGGTTCCTGTACTGTGATCGGGCGGTCTGCAACTGAGTACGTTTTTGATGACCATTTCTGTCGCGTTTGGCTGATCTGCGTTTGTCTGATCTGCGCGGTGAAAGAAGAGGGAGTTGACAGGTTGGCTCTATGGGCTGTGCAGGTCCAAGTAGCACGAGCCAGCTTCCCTGCGAGGGATAAAAAAGGCGGAGAAATTACTAATTAGTAACTCCCTGATCAGCGCAGTTTTTCCCCCGCTTCGCCACTTTTCAAAATAACTGCGATGTACGTCGCCCCGGGCGGGCGCTGTTTTTTTTTTTTTTCACCGTTTGTTTGTGTGGTCTCCATCTCTCCAAGAAAACATCTATGCTGTAGCTCGGTCACAGCAAGTGCTGGTAAGAGGGTAAGAGTAATTGACGACGTCCCTTGCAGGCGTCGTTCCCGAGACTCGATCCATGTGCGGAGCGAGCCCAAGCGCGCGCGCATAACCTTATTTCGTTTCCTCTCAACCTTATGTATGAATCTTCGCTTGTTTTACTTAGCCGATTCCTGAGGCTTCTTCGCTTGTTTTACTTAGCCGATTCCTGAGGCTTCTTTGCTTGTTTTACTTCGCCGATTCCTGAGGCTTCTTCGCTTGTTTTACTTAGCCGATTTTACTTAGCCGATTCCTGAGGCTTCTTCGCTTGTTTTACTTAGCCGATTCCTGGGGCTTCTTCGCTTGTTTTACTTAACCGATTCCTGAGGCTGCTCGTCATGCGAGGACAAGACTGAGTACTATACTATAAGAATGTATGACGTCGCGTACTCGGAATGTCCGGATCGCGATGCCTGCCGCGAGGTTGTTGCATCCCGGCGACGTCCATTGCTACATGGAGGTGGATCTGAGTTATGATTGCCGTGTTTTGGTCATTCATCTTCTTCATTTTCAATTGATTCGTTTTCTGGAGACATTCCTGCGCAGACGTTTTGTGGCATATCGAAATCGGACTGGTAGGTGCGCAGTCGAATTGCACACTTCTCATCTGTTTGAATTGACGTTTTTTTTTTTGTGTTTTCAAGTATTCAGGGAAATTTTGTCGGTTATTTACTGATGGCTTGTTTCTAGTTATACAGTAATAGGAAGGTTGAGCACGATTTTCAAGGGAGGCGGTGGGCTAAAGCATGAAGTGTGACTGTAGTTATGATGTTGCTGACAATTCTGTCCCCCGTCTTTGGTCAAGCTCTTAAGAGTTTAGGACGTACGAGCGCGATCGGGACCGCTTTTTCTATGCATTTATTTATTTACCGTATCTCTGCCGTGCACTGGGGTTGGACAGCTGGAGAAGGGTTCCTAATGATCGGGATGTTATTGCGATTCGACAGTTGGCTGTGCACGTGCGGTGGGATAATCGAAGGACCATTTGCAAGAGAAAGTGCGATTTCATCGCGATGTGGACCATCGCAATGAAACGGCCATGAAATCGATCGCAAGCGCACCTTGGGCCCAAGGGGCGACATTGCGATGGACGATTTGCTGTCCACTTGTGGTGCCGATGTGTGACATGTGCTCGTTTATAGAGAGAGTGACGGTTTCCCCTGTGGTTTGCGACATGTCCAATGTGCGCAGTAATGGGGTTTTGACGATAAATTGCGCCTTCCACACCCCCCCCCCCTTCCACCCGCGCCCCTGGGGCTCGTGTCATGTCTGTTTGTGCTTCGTCGAGAGCGAGTCTCCACGATGGGGTGTACTTTTGCCTCTGTTGAAATCTTGATCTATTCCTTGAGGCCTAGTTGCACACCCATGACATTCGCCAAAATTTTGAACGTATCTGGACTCCAGTGTGTCCAGATGCGTTCAAAATATTGGCGGATGGCGAGTATCGCAACTAGACCCTTGGCTAGCCCCTCGTCCTTGCAGCGTAATAAACGAAGTAGTGATTGGGTGCGAAATGCAGCATCCTTTTCTCGCGTAGTTTTTGGATATATGCGGCGCGGCTCGCGACTGTCGTTTAAAACGATTTGGCACGTCTGTTCGCCGAATGATGAAAACGCAGAGGATCTTGAAAGTAAGGAAGTTGGTGATCAATCCCTTGTTGAAGGCTGGTCTATCCTGTTGATGGATCGGATTTTCTTTTGTAATCCTAGGTGATCTCGTGGCAGGATGTATATGATCGCACCTCTATCCATTTTTTGCAAATGCACGCATCACTGGGAGGTGGCCGTCCCGTCGGCTTCCCCACACCCCGGCCAGGCCGCTCGTGGGCAGCGTTGAGCAGTCAGACATAACACAGTGTCATTGTGTGTGCGATCATGGGAGCTCGTCAGATTGGAGGGGGGGACCTATAATTTATATTGGTAGGGGGACCTATAATTTATATTGGTAGTCTCGTGGCGCGTTGGTCTCTCCGCAATGTGTGACATCGTTTGGAATCCGGGTGTCGATCTGCATCCTCGCCGTCGCCCGACTTCGACCGGCGTGGGATTTCAAGCCTTAATTTTTTTTAGCATTTTTCCACACGGCGCCGTCGCCTGACGTCTCCTATTGATTGGTTAGTAGTTTATGGCAGTCGTCGCCAGGCGGCGTTTCCAAGCATCGTCTCTTTGTCCCTATCGATTTTTTGTCTATAATTACGTAATATATACATATATATTCCCGGGCAGTTCTATTTGACGACATATATATATTGTGACAAAATATATATATATACGATATATTTTGTCTATAATAGTAATAGTTTGTCCTCGTCGTTGCCGCCAAGCGTGGATCGCCGAAGCGTTTTCACAGATTGTCTTTTGTACGTTATTGTGAAGAGATCGTTCGTCAAGGTTCCTGTCCTTATTGGTAGTCGCTTTATACTCCGAATCTGTTCTTTTTCCTTTGCGCTTCTCCTCTTGACTCCCCCCCTTTCTTCGGGTTTGCGCGCTCTTTAACCCACCGATTTACTAGTGCTTGTTGCTCATTCCAAACGCTTGGGTCTCTACTGATGTTGACCTTTCTTACTTTTTTTTTTTTTTTAACGTTGAATCTTTTTTTTTTTCCTTCGCGATTCTCCTCTGACTTCCCCCCCTTCTTCGGGTTTGCGCGCACTCTTTAACCCACCGATTTACTCGTGGTTGTTGCTCATTCCAAACGCTTGGGGCTACTGATGTTGACCTATGATTAGCAATTTAGTGCCAAAACAGTGTGTATGACGTATCGAGGATTCCGCGCGGCAGTTAACCGTGTCGTGTTCACGTTTATCGTCAAAATATTTGGTCGGTTGATCATGAACTGAAGATGTCGGTGTTTCTCGTTACGACACGCACGAGCGTATCTCGTCGTGTTGAGAATATGCCATATTACTGTATTGGCACCGTAGATAGGTCGTCGGGAAAACGCAGCTGTTGATGATGCATCTTTCCATTTCCATCCCTCATTGGCGTTACTTGTCAAGCGACGAGGGTATGATGGCGGCCCGTGATTGGACATGATTCCAGTAGTCTCTCGCTCACACCTCTGCACCCGTTCCTACGATATCGCACTGCGTGGAGCTCTGTACTCTGGCCTATTTCCTCTCTCCGATCGTCGAGTTAGATCTTCTATCCATTCGACTTCACTCGAATAGAACGCCCGGTCGTTATCGCTGCATTTGGTCTTGAAGTTGGCCCAAATACAGTCATAATGACCAGGCGTTCTATTCGGGTGAAGACGGGAAGGTCAGGTGAGGTCCTGTGCCGTCTAAGAGATCTGTCATCACCGCACCAGCACCACTCACCAAATCTGTCATCAGGGTAGTTCAGGTGAGCTGTAAGAGATCTGTGTCGACTCGACTGAATGTGACCCTCTGTAGACTGAATGTGGCCACCACCGCTGCACGTTTGGTGACTGGTGCGGCGGCGAGGCCCTGTGTCCACTGCATGTGGTCACCATCACGAGTACCATTCAATGACGTACGGTTGCACGTCATCAAGGTACCGAATAAAACGTCCGGTCATCCGGGTCTTAATCTGAGCGGTGAAGACTTGCTTTCTTCGCTTGTGTTTTTTTCTCAAAGAAGTACCTGGTTCCAAGTGAAAGGTATTCCTGAAGAGCTAATTTGTTGCAAGTGAAGGTTTGTTCGCAATGGGATATATGTGATAAGATAGCCAGGCTATTCTTTGAAGGTCGATGTTAGATGCCGTAAACGGAAAGGAGTGTGGCGTCGAGGTTAGACGGAACAACGTAAACGGAAAGGAGTGTGGCGTCGAGGTTAGACGGAACAACGTAAACGGAAAGGAGTGTGGCGTTGAGGTTAGACGGAACGTAAACGGAAAGGAGTGTGGCGTCGACGTAAGCGGAAAGGAGTGTGGCGTCGAGGTTAGACGGAAGCGGAGCGTCCGGCGGCGATATTGATGTGTGTGCTATCACTGCTATGCACATGGAAGTTGTCAAATCAAACGGATTCGAACATGGAAAATCAAACATCAACGGTCGTTTCACTTGTGTTATTTATGCAGTTGGTGCAATTCTATGAAGATGAGTGAGATCGACTTAACTGCTGCAGTGTGTGACTCCCTTCGAGTCTTTTGGGGTGTTCCGACTCCGTTCGTCAGTGCACCGCGCCAACACGGAAGATAGTGCAGCATGCTCTTCCCGTCGACTCAACCACCTCTCTTTGGCAGATATAGGCCTCGCCGCGCCACTCGCGAAATGCGCAAAAAACAAAAGTTAAATTATGGCGGTGTATCTTTCCATGTGATAGGGGAAGATTCACTCTCATTTTTCACCCTCGGCAGGTGAGTGGTGCGGCGAGGCCCTCCTGTCCAACGATCAAGCTCTTTCCGTCGACTCAACCAG